TGTTTGCACCAGCTCAGGCAGTAATTGCAGAACTTTTATCCATGTTCTATCGTTATTTGCTTACTTCCCCTCCCTAGCTCGCTGGTTCACCCTGTGCTTCTACGTGGACTTATCCCCCTTTTTTCATAGTACCATTTGCTTATTATTTCTTCTTTGTCAGGCATAGGCAGCACTGGACATGAGTGGGATAGAAATTCCTCGTTATCAGTGTTATATTTCTGGAGCCAGCAGAGAAGGAGAGACACAGAGGCAGACAGAGCTGATGGACACCCAACTGTCTGCTGTGCTAGCTTTATTGTTATGGCTTCACCACTGAAAACTAACACAAGTGAGGCTTTGCACTGGGAGAGGGAAGGGGCACAGAGCCCCCTGACCATTTAAAGGAACATGACATCACAATATGGTAGAGTCCAAGGCCAAAATTATCTGTGCCTGTTCATGGGAAAGCTAATTATCATCTTGAAATGTCTGCAGATTTCTCAAGGCAAGGAAAAGGATGAGTGCTTCTATGAGTTTGCTATATAAGGGACCTGATCCTGTCCCTATTGACATCAGTGGGAACAAGATCAGACCTATACTGTTGCGATTCATGACAATATGCTAGTTACAAAGCTGTCCTTAGTCCTATGTTATCTTCAACACCCTGGAACTTGCAATTTAATTTTAATAATACAAAATCAAAATTTCAAAGTCATTATTCCTTCTAGATGCACCACATACTCCACACAACTACTAGCTTTTAATACTCTAAAAGTAAGGTCAGAAAATTACGAGGACTTTCATGCTAATGCTTACCTTAATTTTATTGTAAGTACCCAATTTCTCACTGATTGCTATTTAAAAAAAGAAAAGAAAGAAGCAAAAAACAACCAGCACCTTATAGATTACTAAAAGTAAATTGCAGGTCTTTGTGTTCTTTTCAAAACCTGAACTAAGAACCCAAATCACATATAAAGTGTGTAATTTAAAAATTACAAATATGTTTTACAATTTGAAACAATCCAGTTGAAAAGCAGGGCTCTCTCTTACCTAACAAATTTTCTGTTCAGGGTCCTATGTTTTTCCACCCAACAACTGATATTCTTTTTTCTGCAAGAAGTGCCAATAACGTGGTTGTCATATTTTCAGCTGTTGGACGGCAACGAAACAAATCTCAAACTCTGGTCATGGGAGATGAAGAAAATTTTTTAAAGATTTAGGGATTTTTCAAATGTAAATATATTTTCATTTTAATTGTACATACACACTCCTGATTATTTTGAATCATGGCCAGTTAATTTTTAAAGCTTTACAGTTCACCTGTAAAAGTCAGAATTGTAGTAGAAAGTCTTGCCTGTTTAGTCTACTAGATATTGAAGGTCTAAGATCTACAATGAACTTCTACAGTACTTCACAACTGGAATCCAGCCACTCTGAATGTGTAGTAAAACTAATATGTTTCAACGTCCCAAAAAGTGGACTTGAGATAAACCAGTAAGGCATACATTAAACTTGTGACAGTCACAACTAAAGAAGAGCTCTGCATAAGCTCAAAAGCTTCTCTCTCTCCTCAACAGAAGTTTGTCCAATAAAAATTACCTCACCCACCTTGCATCTCTAATATCCTGGGACTGACATGGCTACAGCAACACTGCATACAAACGGTTTAGTTGGAAGTTGAGCTTTTAACATAGTGAAATGTCCAAAGTAAATCTTTAATTGTAGCTAACAAATAGAATAAGGTACTCCCTAGCTCAGACAAAAGACACTGGGATGGTATGATCTATAGAGGGAAGAGTGACTACTATTGACAATCTTTATAAAGCATTTTGAGGTTGTCTAAGTAGCATTACGGTAAAAATTAAGTATTTATTATCTGAATTATTTTAAGTATTCACAGGCACAACTAATATTATTTGTATTACTTGAAGCTCCAACTAAGATCAGTGCCCCATTGTGCTAGGTGCTGTGGGTACACATAGTAAAAGCTCACAATCTAAATAGACAAGACACACAGAATGTGGCAGGGGAAAAAATGATTTGCCCAGGCTCACACAGCGGAGTTGGAATTAGCATGTAGATATCCTGGGTCTCAGTCCTTTGACCTATCCATTAGATCATACTGCCTCTCAGTGTTGAATACTGGTCTTAAGATGCCACAAGGAAAAATTTACTTACTGTTTTTCTGATTATTAAAGTCATTAGTATAAAATCTGTTATGTAGTAGAATAACCTGCCAAGTGGATTTATAATTGTGTTCACATGAGATATTAAAGATTAGATAAGACACCCCTCTATTAAACATGGTTTGAAAATTATTAATTCAGTCCTTGCCATAATACAGGAGGATGAACTAGATGAAGCATGAGAAGTCCCTTTCAGACAAAATTATTCTATAATTATGTAGTAATGATGGAATATTGCTTTCCCCCTCCCCCCTGCTTTTTTTTTTTTTTTTTTTTTGCCAGTTGCTGGTGGGTTTGGGGTCATCTCCATTGTGTAGCTCTATAAACATTTACAAATATCTGTTTGCAAAGCAAACCACTAAAGGTAAAGAAGGAAGTACAACTATCCAGCAAGTATAAAAAGACTAGAAAACAACTTCCTTTGCATTCTTTCCAGTGAGAGGTATGGTCCAGTGCTGGTGCGAATATAGTAAAGTATGGCAGAATTTCCTGAGTTTTAATCTGGACTCTGTTGCTGATTTTTTGCCTGGCAAATCAGTGAAACTCCCTGCCTTAATTTCCTGTCTATAAAACAGGGATAATAATCTGTAGTTACCAGCTTCACAGATGCTCTGTGAGGATTAATTCAACACTCAACATCTGAAAAGCACTGAGACAACAAAGAGCTCTAAATATTTGCCAAGTGTCGGATTTAATGTTTAAGGTCTTTCTTCCATTCCCTCTATTATCTTCTCAACCCAGTGGTCTTCCTGATTTGTCTGATTTTTTTTTTTTTTTTTTTTTTGTCCAACAAGAGGATTTAGCCTATTTCCCTTAAACCCAGGTTAAAATCCACTTCAATTTTTATATCAACTCATATTTGACTATTAACACTTAGATTGTCACACCTGTTCTTAATTTCCTCATATGCTTTCATTTTATATTAACTTTGAAACTGTATTGAATGCTGTAAAAAAAAACTTGGTAAAATTTGTATGAAAGATGATATACAAAATAAAGTTGTATTGTAGTTGCATCCACAAATCTGTCATCACAATAAAAAAAAAGACTACTCATGCTGTTATCAATAATATTTGTTTTTGCAGTATGTAAAGATGCCATCTTATCCTTTGCACTTGAGAAATTCTGGTTTCAGTATAGGACACAAATATTTTGCGTGGTTTTGGTTTCAAATAGGTTTATTGGTTTATAATTTAGAGAATATGAACAGTTATATAAACAGACCTCTGGCATTCCAATATATTTGTACTGAAAATAAAGCTATAGATTTCAATTTTTCATCATACACGTATTCTTTGTTCCCCTCCTTTGCTTTAATCTCTTCATCCTCAATTTGGATAAGGAGTGGAAGGGCTAAGCATAGGTTTTTAAAGGGCCAAATTCTGCTCCTTGACTACATGAGTGCAAACCCAATGGAAGATGCACCTATCCCACTGAAAGGCACTGTTATTCAGAATCAAAGTATATCATGATCTTCCATGTTGTTTTCCCTCAGAGAGTACGTATAGCTACTATGTCTCTCGTGTGTATTCAATTCAATCTGTCCTTGAAACTCCTGATTCCTGCCAACCTCATACAGTTACATTCTATGGTCCTTGCTTATCAAAGCACTTAAATTCCAAGTTAGGTATGGGCTTAAGCATGTGCTTAAATGCTTACTGAATACTTCCCCCCCCCACACACACACTAAATTAGTAGCTGTTAGAATATTCTAGGAAAATGTAGTCAAAGTAAATTCCAACCTCTATTTTTCCTCTTCCTCCCTCAAGTTAAGGCAACAGCAATTTTTTTTTTCAAAATATAAAACGTTGCATGTGTTAGGAGTTTTCCTGGAAATAGCAGGAGCAACTGTGTCCTTTGGAAGAAATGTCTGCAAAATTTGTACCATCCCATCTGTGTTTTGCAGGAGCTGGTCAGAGGGAAGTACCATTCTAACTCCCAGAAACAATTTCTCTTTGGAACTTGTTTTCATCCCTCTTGCTGTTTCTAAGTAACTCAGTGTTTTGATCAGTATGCCTTCATGTCTATGCATTTCCTACCTTAGATGAGGAGCATCCAGTTTTATTTCTTTCTGAAATGGAGTTTCTCTCTCACATTCAAGTAAGTCATCAATAAGTCAGTTGGATCCACCATTTCTATTCCTGATGGCACACTTTGTGTATAAGTATAGCTAGATCTAGAACCACATCATCCCCTACATGGGCTACTCTTGTATAGAAGTCAGAATGGATGGTCTAATGATTGAGGCAGGGGGTTAGAGGAGATTGAGGTTCAAGCCTTGTCTCTGCCATAGGCTTTCACTGTGACCTTCAGCAACTGAATCTCTCCGTGTCTCAGTTCTCCCATCTGCAAATTAGGGATAATGCTTCCTTTCTCCAACTCTCGTCTATTTAGAGTGTAAGCTGTTCAGGGCAGGGGCTGTCTTGGACTATGTGTTTGTACAGTACTCAGCACAGCAATGCCCCGAACTCATTTGGCACCTACAGGCACTAATGCAACACAAATAATAGGAAACTCTGAAGTTTTCCTCAGTCTTGTACACATTCTTTGAGAATTTTCATCCCTGAGCCTCCTACAGAAAAAGGGATGTGGCCCCAAAACCAGCAGCAGCAGCAGCCTAGGTCTGGGAAGGTACAGGCCATTCTTGCAGAGACTCTACCTAATCTTATCAGCTTATAGTTCCTTTCTGCCTCCCTGGGGCCCCCCATCAGCAGAGCTCCTCAAGGGCCAACAGAAGCTCCTGCAACAGCTGCTGGGCCTGTAACCCCTATAGAGGGCATTTCACAGCACAATGGGAACATTTAACACGTTCAGAGTAACTAGTTGAGAGTCAAATGTGTAGTGGAGAGCCTCGCCTAGTAGATTTTAACTAGAAACCTTACAAGGCTAGGGAAAGCCCGAGTCTGGCATGTATTGAGTCGATACAAGGAACGTGGTGGTGGTGGTGACGACGGAAATTTTTTAAGAATGCTCAGTTTAAAAAAAGCTTGTTTTGCAAACTTAAATTATGGTTTCTTTCTACTTTTAGACACAGTCCTAACAGATCTAAAGGGAGTTAATGTAGAAGAAAAGGAACCAGCACCATTTGTGCATGAATGCTCCTGCTGTGGCCATGTCTAAATTACGCAAGTGTGCCCCTCAAAATAGCTTACAATGTAAGGACATTTTTTTCATTTGTAAAATTAAAAGATATTTTAAAGAACATTAGGCAACCAATTACTTATCATTGCTCACTGCATTTGAAGAAAAAATATGAAAGTTAGTGACATTTTACATGTGAAACATAGTCACTCAGTACTAGATTAGCTATAAGAAGGTTTACTCTACCTGTTTAGTGCATACAGCATGCAAACATACAGAGACACCAAACTCAGACATCCTAAATTTTACCTTTGCCCAGGTAAATACTTAATGTCCCAATTGCCTGTTTATCATACGTAAGTGAGTCGGACATCACTACATAGGCTTTTCACATCCTATTAGTGGCCTATATTTTTATATTGGGTATAACATAGTTACATGTCAAAGTAACCACATCCAATGGAAATTCTAATGGAAAATTGTTTTATTCTCATTTCATAAAGATTAACTTATTACATTAAAAAATATAAACTATCATAGTGGTCAGATCACACTAAAGTTCTAGGTCCATATATTCTACTCACCAACCACTTGCACAATAGTTTAGCAGGTGCACCCACAACTATAGACTATGAAGGAAAGTAGTGGATTCGCCACCTGTTGCGGTCTTCAAGTGAAGGCTCTGCCTTTCTGAAAGATATATTTTAGCCACACAAGTTATTGGGCAAAATACAGTGGTCACCGGAAGTTCTATAGCCTGTAATATACAGGATGTCAAATAAGATTATCTAATGTTCTCTTCTGGCTTTAAAATCTGTGAATCACTACACGCTAATTGCCAGCTGACACATACAGATAAACATTAATTTTGAAAAACACAAATGTACGTCAGTTGAATTCTGCATGTTTAAACAAAAAGACCCGAGGCTACGGGAAAACCCTTCAGTCTACAGGTAAAACCATTCTAATTGGCTGACCTCTGTGTTCCACCCATCTCCTTGGGAAAATGCAGCCAGTCAGAGCTTTCTGCATGTGCTGTATCAAGATAAAGCAGCTAGTTAGTTTGGAGTTCCTGATCCCTCAACATGTGTAGATGCACCAGACAAACACATATCATAGTCACCAGAGAGCTAGCCCTGGAAACAGCTGAGAATTCCTGGTCACAGAGCAGCCCTATTTCAGCCTTAACTGGGGCCAACTGTGGGAGGCAGGTGCCTCAAGCAAGCATGGGGCAAGTAGCTCCCATCCTTATTTGCCTCCATCCAATCTGGGCTTTCGTTTGAGGCAGGAGTATCAGAAGAACCAGGTACAGGGAGGAAAGGGCAGATCCTTGTCCCCATGTCTTCCTGTATTTGAGAGCAATCCCTGAGGCCCCAGACTCCTACTTCTTCTGACCAAAAACCACTGTTTCTCCCCCTCCCAGCCCTATTTTCCTTACTCTAACCCCTCAAAGGCTCATACACATAACCAGACCCAAGTTCCCCTTTCCCAACTCCCCAAAGGGCCTGGATAACCACACTTCTCCTCACAGAGCTCTATGCTACTAGGGCCAGCTCTCCTCAGCCTCCTTTTCCTCCTGGTCAGAAAAACCCCTCACTACCACACATACCCAACACCCTTTATTCCCCACACCATAGGCTGTGGCTTACCCTCCCACAACACTCAGCTCCATGACCCTTGGCCAATGCCTCCAACACTCAAATTCCTGGATACACATAATTCCTCCACACGCCCTTGTTTTCCTCTGGCTTAGTTTTCAAACCCGGTCCCTGGCTTCCTGCCCACCGACTCCCACTTTTACGTCTGGTCATCTCCCGTTCTTCTCTTCAAAGTTATTGGTTATCCTCTCCCAAGTTCCTGAGTAGCCTTACCAGCTACCCTAGCTCACCTACCCCAGCTACTCATGGCTCACCCAGCCCCAGTGAACCAATGTCAGGGAGTGAAGTTGTTGTGACTGGATTTGGGTGTGTGGGAGAGAGAGTGTGAGTGTTGAGTGAATAAGTGAAAGAATGAACAGTATAGTTAGAATGACTTCCTGGAGTATGAGAGAGGATGTAGGGGAAGACCAAGTGTGGAGTTTTGTCCTTTGTGCTAGTCTCGAGGTCTTCATAAATCTAATCACCCCTAGCTCCTTTAGTCTTAGTTTACTTCTCTCTCTCTGCATTCCCTGTGTTCTCTGATTTCCTGGAAATATCAAGTGCCCTTCAGAGAGAACCATTTTCCCATGGAAAGTTGTGGCCTGAGTTCCAAATATGGGAGAAAGCTACAGTGTTTGATAAAGAAACACAGTTTCCCTTGAAAACTGGCAGGTACCATAAGGCACCTACACCTTACCTTGCACTAATTAGTCTCAAGTATAATTAATTTCCATCAGTTCATGACCATGAAACTAATTCCTGTTTAAACTTAATTTGATACAACTGTAAGTGGTACCAGATACAGCTAGAGTGGGGGGAGGGGTTTGTATCTGTTACCATGCTCTAATCCAGGGGTTCTCAAAGTGGGGGTCAGGACCTCCAGGGGTCATGAGGTTATTACATGGAGGGTTGTGAGCTGTCAGCCTCCACCGCAAGCCCCACTTTGCCTCCAGCATTTATAATGGTGATAAATATATTTTAAAAGTGAAAATATAAAATATTATATTTAAAATATTATAAAATATTAAAAAATATTATATTATAAAATAAAATATAAAATATTATATTTAAAAATATATTTTTAATTCATGGGGGGCGGGGTGTCACACTCAGGCTTGCTATGTGAAAGGGGTCACTGGTAAAAAAAAAAAAGTGTAAGAACCACTGCTCTAATCACTGCTGGGATATATTTTGTACTCTCATGTAATAGTCCAAAATAGTCCAAAAAGCAGAGAACAAGATAGCTCAGTGGTTTGAGCTTTGGCCTGCTAAACCTAGGGTTGTGAGTTCAATCCTTGAGGGGGCCATTTAGGGATATGGGGCAAAAATTGGGGATTGGTCCTGCTTTGAGCAGGGGGTTGGACTAGATGACCTCCTGAGGTCCCTTCTAACCCTAATATTCTATGATTCTATGATCTCATGTCAAAATATTCAGTATAACTTCATTAATGCAATAGTATCCTAAAGGTAGTGTGCTGTATTTGTGTTTTAACAACCACTGTATATTCACTTGACTTTCATTCTAAGTTTGTTTGTTTTTTCTTTTGTGTACTTCCTCCTGCTTCCGAATACACTTGTTTAGACTCAGACTCATAGGTGTGAGATATTCTTCAGTTTTACTACTCTGACTGACTATGGTTAGAGAGAACTGTTGTTCTTCTATCAAAATGTAAAAACATTAATGGGATTAGAGGAGAGATTTGACAAGTGCACATTGGACCATCTTGTCATTCTTAAAAACTGGTTTTTGCAAGATTTTAACTCCCCTCTCTCCCCACTTTCATGGCAGAATTCCTCTGGCCAGAATGGGCAGATTGAAAGCACTCTCTGAGGGTGATATCAGTTGTATGCAATGGGGTGGGTAGGGGCTTTGTAAGAGCTGTTAAACTAGATCCCTTCCAGAGAGCATCCAGAAAACCATGTCTCCATTGGTTCTGCGAGTGGCAATCCTGAAGTTATTTGAAAACTAAGCCTGTGCCTTTTCAAAACATCTTTTAAGAAACTTGTACGAGTTCCATGTCTCCCTCAGTATAATAGTAATGCCACAACATGAGCAGAGAATATATATGACCAGAACACGCAAAAAGATCTATTGCCCAGACCCTTACCCTTCTGCCAACTTGTTGTTACAATAAAGCCTTCTCAAACCTAAGAATGAAGCAGAGCAACACAGACAGCAATATTACTCCAGGGTTTCTGAATGTCAAAATGTAAAGAAGAGATGAATGAGACCAAAGAGTAATATCATAAGTACTTATTTAACCAGAGAGTATAAAATACTACACACGTGCAGGGTGATTGAGTTGATATGGCTTTGGACCTTTGATTCTGCATTTCCTGATTTTGTGTTCTTTAACTATGAAATCTTAAAATGTACTTTGGCACCGCAAGTGACTCAGTAAAAATTATATTGTGAGCTCTATATTTATTGTATCTCAATAATTTCCATATCAAAGGTGTTCAGTTTGCAACTAATGAACATTTTTTCTAACTGATATCTTTGCATCCTGGACTCAGAGAGACAAGCTAGCATCCCTAGCATCATAAGTGATAGAGGTTCACTTATGCCCCATTGTCTTTTAATCATGGTACTTTGACAACAGTGCAGTTGCACTGTTTTCCATGGGTCAGTTCATTCAATCTTAGTTGTGTCAGCTCTGCAGTTCTAATGGAAGTAAGAAGCATTAAACTTATTTTTGAAATTAACAGATATGTTTCTGAATACACATAGAGCATCTGTGGCGTGAGGGGGCTAGACGTAGAACCAAATTTCATAGTAAATCCTTTTCTCTATAATGGGCCAAACCAAAGAAACCCTGTTTCTACATTCTCTATGACTTTAGAAAAGGATGCATCTCATTCTGAACTTCACTGTTAAGGATCATCTCTACTTTTTTTAAAACTTTGTTTAAAATAATCCCATAATGATTGATCTCTCTCTCAATGGATGTCAACTATATACATTTTCTTTAAACTTAGAAAAATTTTGCGGAGGAGAGACTTTTGTTCTGCTGTGGAAATTGCCAATGCCTGTCTTTAAGAGGCATCTCTCAAGCAAATGATTGTTAGAGCTCATGCTCAGAAAGTCATCTTTTCTTTTTGACAATCTCTCTTTGTTTAGGATGATTATATTTGAAGTGCAGAAGACTTTTCATAGTTCAGGTTTCAGCCAACTTCTATTATAAAACCCTATTTCAGTACCTCTTGGCCTAGAATACTGCCAGTTACCAGATTTACTCTGAAGGCAAATGAGAGTATTTCCTTTATGTGTGAGGCAAAATCTTCAAACTGTTTCTGAGTTGTGTGTTACTGACATGTAAATCTGATTTGAAATGTTGACTATTGTCTAATATTTCTTCAACTCCCTCTAGCTCAAATTATATTTGTTACTATCTATTCCATCTTTCCCTAATGTTAAATCTCTTTGAAAACTCCTG